GAGGGTCGACTGCGCTTCGCCCCGCTCTCCGGGCGCTGCTTCTTTTCGGGACCAGACGGCGTGCCATTCTACCGGCCGCGTCGGACATAATAAAATATGGCTATTCTGCGTCCCTTATTGTATCACTGTTCTGGGTATATTTGTGACATTTTGCAAAACGCGGAAAAATTGATCTTCATTTCTAGCCACACTGCCCTAGAAGAGCCCTCCCCCGGCCACCGTTGAGCTGCTCACGACCACGGACATGGCAGGTGCACTGGCTGCCCTCTTTCAGTTACCAATACAATAGACAGGGTTTAGGAAAAAAGTCTGTGTTCAGACTTGGCGCGCTAGTTCGACTGTTACTTCACTACAAGACCGCTTTTTGTGGCCCGCCCTGCACACACGCATCGGGAAGTAGTAGTCTTATTAGTGTAGTGCTATGGTGGAGGGTTAACTGCTCTGCGGTGCCCGAGTCTGTCGAGCACAAGTAGTCGTACTTGGCGCAAGTTTTAGGTGCTACACTACTCGCCACACCGCACCCGTACCCGTACCCGTACCAACACAGGGACAGCATAGCCAGCCTCCCTCCCCAGGGGAACACCCAGAACACGGATCGGCCGGCGCCCCCCCCCCCCCGGCTGAAGCGCGACGGCTTAGGCGCGCCCCGCATGCGCGACAACCGCGCCTAGGGCGGTCGCTCCGTAGGAAGCGCGGTGCGCGATAGGTAGGCCGTTTGAGCGCATTTCAATCCCCCCCCGGCCCGCCCGCAGAGCAGTGCGCCCCGACGAGGCGCTTTCGCAGCGGGCCGCCCGGTGCGCCGACGCGTGTCCTAGCCGATGGCGCCAAGCCGTGCCTACGATAAGTGCGCCCAAGCCTGAGCGACTGACTAAGCGAGGCGGTGCCTCGCGCGCGGGCCCCCCGCAGGGGGCGCGCGCCCCAAGGCGGGAGCCGGCGCAGGGGGGCACAATGCCAATGGACGCGAAGGGCGCCGCCCCGGCGAACCGTGCGAACGAATGAAGAAACCCACTTTCCTCCATCTGCGGGCTGGCCAAAGCTTCCGGTCGCTTCGCGCGGCGCCCGGCTCTTGGGCGAGCGGACCGCGACTTTTTGGCAGGCCTCGGCGTGTTTCCTGCACGCGCCCCCCCTCCCTCTCGGCGAGGAGCTTTTGCCCGCGCGGTTGCGTCGCGTGGCTACTTGGCCTGCCACAAACCCCGGAGCACCATCTGTGCGATCTGCTTTCGCAACACGCAGGCAATTTTTTAAGGCACAACAGCGCGGGTACGCAGTCTTGGTTCCGGCCTGCGCTACGCTTCCAAGTATCGAAGCGTCATGACCCCAGCTCGCGTGCGACACCGCGTCAACCGGCTTTCCGCACAAGCCACCGCATCACCGCCCTCAGCTTCGGAAAGAAAAGAGTTCCGCACCTGGGTGCTGCACTTTCTGGATGCGACGGCGTCCCAGATCCGCGCTGAGGAATTAGTCAACACGATCACAGGCTGGCACGAGTCTTGCAGTGGAACGGCGGTTTTTGCCGCGAGCCACTGTCGCGTTGTCGTCGGAGATCCGAGCACAACATTCACACACTGTCTTTTGTACGAATATACTGACGAGCCTGAAAGTGGGCTTAAAACGAATCTGCCACGCTCGCTAGAACTCGGCTTGTCGCAACTACAGCAGGACGCAGCGGCTTCACCATTCGCAACCACTTCCACGGGAGCCAGCGACGTCGTCCCAGTTGCCCTTTCTTGTCCGCAGTTGCTACTGACGATTGATCCCGGCTGGTTTCACCTGGACCGCGCGGCGCCCGAACCAACCGCGACAATCACGAACTGGTCAGCGGAGCCTGCGGAGGTCTTGAACGCAGAAATCCCCAGCGGTTTGGTGGGAGACAGAACTCCGGGAAATCAGGTGGGGAAAAGTGCGGCGACTCTCGAACAGCTAAGGGCGTTTCTTTCGGATGTGGAATTGGGAGAACAAAAGCCCGGGCGGGGTAGTTTGTGGCACGTCAACCTGCTGCGCTTCGAGGACGACGCGGAAAAGCGGTCGCTGTACCAACAATACGCGAAAGCGCAAGGCGGCAGGAAGGGCGTGCTCTCGCAATTTGGCGCGCGGAGCACACTGGCCGCCAAGGTTTGGGGAACTTGGGAGCGTGCACGGAGCGGGGAATCGTTCAAGCGACGCGCTCCGGAGCGCAGTTTCGATCAAGTAATAATTGCGGAGTATCCATCGCGCGACGCGTTTCTGGCAATGGGCGCGAGTGAACAGTATCGGGCTGTGAGTAAGCTGCGGCACGACGCGCTGGCAGAAACGTTTATTATCTCGATGCCGAAGCCCGACGTTTTGCGATCAGAAAGAATTTCGCGTGCGGATGAAAAAATTTGACGTCATTTCTTGAATTTAGTAAAGAGTGAATTAAGATCAGTGACAGCTCGCGCTCAATAGAAAACACTAAAATGATTGGAGGACTTCGAAACAGTATCATGCCAAAATGCGAACAGATAGTGCCTGCGATTGTTCTGAAAGAGATAGTCTTTCTTTCTTTCTTACCATGCCCGGGCATGGCGTCAAATTTCAAGGCCCTACATACGCTGATGTTCTTTTTCTACAACCGACCTATGAAAACCGTTCCGAAGTGAATTTTGCTAAGCCACGAAGCATAGAGTAATACGGAGTTCAGCATTTCGCGGCAACCTGATCTCGTTTGAAGGAGAAAAAGATCGATTTTGCAATGCCATTTTACAGGAAGAACTTACTGTAAGATCTCGACCGGAAGACAAGAAGATCACTGCGCTTCCTGATCCTTCGCATCCTGGCTTTGTTCCGGTATGTTTGCCTCGCATGTTTCAATTTCAATTTCGATCCGATTTTTTTCTTTACAGAACAACCCATTGCAGTGAAAGTAAGTAATTTTTTCGTGTCACTTTTTCTCTGCCCCCCGTGAGTTAAGTGAAAGCACGCTGGCGCGTCGACGTCGTCTCCCCGGCGACCCGTAGCAGCTAGATCGTGGAGTATCACCTCGTGTAAAGATTGATTCTGAGTATCAAGAAGTTTACAAAGACTTTTATCTATCTCGAGTGAAGAAGCCGGTAGTATAATATCCTTTACCACGCTGAATTTCCAAGAAAAAGCAACATGACAAGAAGCCGCCGCATAATCACGGGCGTCGACGAAGAATCCTGCGACAAGCTTTTAAAACGCTAGTGAAATATACCGACTGTTGCGAGGGTCGTCGTGCTCGGGTCCTTGAGCTCGAGAAAAACAGAAGAACCAGTAGCAATTCACTACAACTCCCAACAAGAACAGCGACGAAATGGCTGAAGAGCATGCCAAGTTCAAGCGGTTCGAGTACCGAACCAACTCGAATTTGGTGCTGCAGCGCGAAGGCGCTGCCCCCTCCGCAAATGAGCCCACCGGCGAGCCGGAGTCCTTGCGGCACTACAACCTGCACAAAATGGGCGATCTGGCCCGCGGCGACAAGCGACAGCTGGACCATTTAAAAGACGTGAAAAAGAAGCGCGCACGGGATCCAAACGCGGAGGCCAAGGGCGACAAACAAGATCGGAAAAAAGCGAAATTAGAGCTGAGAAAAGGTATTCTTGAGGCTCATTACGTATGGTGTTTTAGTTTTCTTTTCATCAGTCGGTCGATGAAGTTCAAGCGGGGACGCCCTCCTTTATCGAATGTTTTTTTGCTTTTCCGCGTGGTTTTTCTAGTGAATCGCATGTAAAAATCTACTTTCTCCTCAGGCGCCACCGTGCTGGATCAGGATGTCACAGAGGTGGTTTCCTACAAGCCCACCACCACCGCCACAAAGGCGGTCTACGAGGAACTGCTGAACGTGATGACGACGGTGCTCGGCGACCAGAGCCCCGAGGTGCTTGCGGGGGCGGCGGACGAAATTCTAGCGGCCATCAAGGCGGATAATTGCCTTGACGCGCAACGCAAGCGCAACGTCGAAGAGGTTCTGGGCGCGGTCACCAACGAATTCTTCGGCGAGCTTTACCGACTCGCCAAGCAAGTCACGGACTACGGGGCCGACGACGTATTGTTTTTACGGACGTTGAACAAAATGAAAAATTAAACTGCAATTCTAAATTGAAATTGTTCGTAGATTATCGGCGGTGGCCCGTTCGTAGTAGACGTAAAATCTGTCGTAAAACATAAACATCTATGATTTCCACACGCACTGCACAACTACATGCTTGCTTCGATCCATGCATTCCTTCAAAATCACAACAGGCAAAGGACGAAGTGAAAGAAGATCGCGCAGAAGACGCCACCGGTGTAGCAGTGGTTTTCGAAGAGGAAGACTCTGACGACGGCGAGAAGTATGTCGGTGAGCTTACCGAAAGCAGCGACGATGATAGCGAGAACAGGGAGGAAAACCTCCTCCAAGCGGAAGACAGAGGTAATCAGCAGTTTTCGTATATCCTTGAATCAATTGCAACAGCCTTTCGAAGTTTGTAAAATCAAGGTGAAACAAAAAGAATTTTTGACACTTAAGTATTTGCATAAAAAACCTACTCGCGACTACATCACAGGCATCAAGGTCGACGACGAGGTCGACGACGAAGACAAGGAGCAGGAGAACGAGGACCTGCCCGTGTCCGTTATCGACGCCCACTGGCTGCAGAGAGTCTTATCCGAGGTTCTGAACCAGGACCACGAGAAGGCCGCGGAACTGGAGAAGAAAATTCTCCAGGCGCTGGCCATCCAGGACGTGCAGCTCCTGGAAAACAAGCTCGTGCAGCTGCTGGAGTTCCAGAACTTTGAGTTTCTGCAGAAACTGGTCCGGAATCGGAGCAAAATCCTGTTTATGACGAAGCTGAAGCAGGCCCAGACGGACGAGGAACAGGCCCAGATTCTGGAGGCCATGAAAGAGTCCGAGGAGGGCCAGGCGGTCTTGGCCGAGTTGGACAAGTCCAAGGCGAAGCGCGACAAGGAGAAGGACGAGGTCACGCGCCTGCGAAACGAGGCGAGAGTGCTGATGAAGAAAAAACGCGACGACGGGGTGGAAGACGCCGAAATCGCCACCGTGCAGGACAGCGCCACGGGCGCGGTCGCCGCGAAAAAACTCCAGCCCAGCAGGGTCATCGATCTGGAACAGGCCAGCTTTCACAAAGCGGGACACACCATGACCAATTCGACATGTACTAAATGTTGAGCTTGATTTTGCAGTTTTGTAGATCATTACAAGAAGATGATTATTTCGTATCCATCCAACAGTACACTCGAATCTTCGTTGTTCCTCGTAGGTCGCTCCCTTCATTCACAGAAAATAAGCCAGAGTTACTTTAGATCAACCTGTCGCACTATCACCCTCCAAACAACAGGTCACTTGAAAGAGGGTGCGAAGCGTGAGATGAAGAAAGCTTGGGAGGAGGTGACGATTCCGGCCCCGGCCGCGGCGGAGCACGGCGACATTAAGCTGATTGAAATCACCGAACTGCCGAAGTTCGCGCAGAACGTGTTCCGCGACGACAAGGATAA